GGAGTAAACCCCATCTGGGTTTTCTCAGGGGATAAATAAAGAACTAGTAATTGGTAGTGATAGTAAATGATGATACTGATATTGCTAGAGTTACTAAAAATAGTGTCATTATATAGACGTCTCTTTCCTTCCACACACAATGGTGAAAAAAAAAAAAAACCTTTTTTTTTTACCATGACTCATTAGTGCCCTGTGAATAATAACCTATTGAAAAGAGAACCCCTTCTCCAACCTATTCTCCCTTTTTCGTTTTTATAACTTTGACAAAAGTAGTTGAATACAGCAGTCACTAGATGGAGCAACATTCCTAGCAGAGTAATCCTTCTAACCAAGAACTTTCCATTTAGTATTTAATAAAAATAAACCAAGTCTAGAAGAAAAATCACTCATAAGTAGGTGACCTGGTACATTTGAACATAAATGATTTTGAATACCTCAGAGATTTGAATATGAGAAAACAAGAGAGATATTTGGATACACCACAGTCATATGTGGTATTAAAAGCTGAACTGGGTTCCCCCAAAAGTCGTATGTTGAAATCCTAACCCCCAGCACATTAGAATGTGACTGTATTTGGAGGTAGGGTCTTTAGAGAGGTAATTAAGTTAAAATGAGGTCATTAGGCTAGGCTCTAATCCAATACGACTGGTGTCCTTATAGGAAGAGAAGATTTGGGCACAGAAGTATACAGAGAGGACAACATGAAAACACAAGAAAAAGAAAATGATCTACAAGTCAAGAAGAGAGACCTGGAACAGATGCTTCCTTTAGGCTCCTTAAAAGAAACCAACTCTGCTGAACCTCAATCTTGGACTTCTCACTTCCAAAACTGCAAGAAAAATAAACTTCTGATGTTTTAGCCATCCAGTCCATTGCACTTGACTATGTAAACTCCAGCAAACAAATACAGGCTTCCCAGATGGCACTAGTGGTAAAGAATCTGCCTGCTAATGCAGGAGACCCAAGAGACTTGGGTTCAGTCCCTGGGTTGGGAAGATCCCTTGCAGGAGGAAATGGCAACCCACTCCAATATTCTTGCCTGGAGAATTCCAGGGAGAGAGAAACCTGGCAGGGTGTAATCCAAGGGGCCGCAAAGAGTAGGATCCGACGGAGTACACACACAGAGCAAACTACTACAATGTGGAAAGGAATACTAGGAAGTAAGTTCCATACAGGCAAGAATTTTTGTCTTTTTTGTTCATTATTATATCCCAAGCACCTAGAACAATGCCTGGCACATAATATGTGTTTGATACATATCTGCTTTGTGAACTAATAAAGCAGATTAATAAAATTCTTGCCATAGATGACTCTACTAAATACCAGTGATGTTTTCTATTTTCATAAGATCCAAGAACATGAACACCCAGTGCTCTTACCAAGTACTATGGTGTAATTGGTCTGCTGCCACAGCCCAAATACAAAAAGTCCTCTGGTGAAACTCCTGTTATGATTCAGTTCCTGGAGTAATTTCCTGAAGAACAGAAGAGTCAAGAAGACAAAAATACTATTGTAATATAATAAATGTGAATTAGTCCACACAGAGAAACAGATCAACCTTGTTAGACCCATCCTGGGGAAAATGCCACAGATACAGCTTGCTGGTAATGCTGTTCTCACATAAGCATTTGGTTAGCTGATTTCACCACAGGCATTGTGAACAGCCTGGAATCATAATTTAAAGGAAAAATAAATAAGGACTTTTCTCTGCTGTTCTTCAAGCACTTTTTAGATGGACACAGAAAAAATACTAATTAAATTTCCTTCTTATATATTCAGTTACAAAGTCACGGTGCATGTCTGTCTTAAACCCATATCCAGGTCTTAATGTCATCACTATTACCACCAATCAATACTTAATTTGGTACCCTGAAGATGCTAGGAAAATAACAGCAAAATAAAACAAAAGAAATATGGAATGAAGACTCTGATTTTAAATTATATGCAAATATCCTTTAAATAGGGCTTCCCTGGTGGCTCACATGGTAAAGAATCCCCCTGCAATTAGGGAGAGCTGGGTTTGATCCCTGGGTTGGGAAGATCCCCTGGAGGAGGGCATGGCAACCCACTCCAGTATTCTTGCCTGGAGAATCCCCATGGACAGAGGTGCCTGGTGGGCTACAGTCCATGAGGGTGCAAAGTCGGAAAAGACTGAGCAACTAAGCACAGCATAGCATATCCTTTAAATAACAGCTAGAAGAAAGATTCACCAAAAAATAGTTCTGTTAGAGGCAATAATACCATAAATAATTCTTTCTCTCTTCAATTTGTAATTTTATATAATAAGTCTGTTTTTAGAGCATAAAGTTCTCAAAAAACATTCTAACTTCTAATCATTACTGAAGTGAAAGTCACTTAGTCGTGTCCAACTCTGCGACCCCATGGACGGTAGCCTGCCAGCCTCCTCTGTCCATGTGGATTCTCCAGGCAAGAATACTGGAATGGGCTGCCATGCCCTTCTCCAGGGGATTTTCGAACCCAGGTCTCCCGAATTGCAGGCAGATTCTTTACCAGCTGAGCCACCAGGGAGCCCACATCATTACTGAAATTTCCCCCAGAGAGGACGATACAACAGTATTTATTTTTAAAGTATATTTTAAATTTTATTTATTAATTACTTTTTGGCTGCACTGGGTCTTTGTTGCTGCAGGCAGGTTTTCTTTAGTTGAAGCAAGCGCAGGCTACTCTTCATTGAGACGTTCAGGCTCTAGAATGCGACTTCAGTAGTTGTCCACATGCTCCACGCCATGTAGAATCTTTCCAGATAAGGGATCAAACCCTCATCCCCTGCATTGGCAGGTGGATTCCTAACCACTGGACCACCAGAAAGTGTTAAATTATGTTTAATCAATAAATTTACATAGAGTATGCATGAGAAAGCCAGAATACAATAGCTTCATGGGCAAATAAAATTCAGCATTTTAAACTCTAAATTTGGAGATTCCCATCTACTTTGAAAGTAATTTAAAAATCAAGTCAAAGCTTGTTCTGTTTGGGGCCTGGAATTAGCTCCCAAACTGATGCAATCTGAAGCCAGGGCCAACAAGTGTTTACCAAAGTCTTCGTCCCAGAGGGAGAAGCCGCATTTCTAATTCTCCAGAAGTGATGCTGTTGGGATTGCCTTGAGATGTGAAACAAGGCAGCAGGAGTAGGAGGAGTACGAACATGAAATTCATTCTGAAATACTCCCTTTCCAGCAAAAATGAAAGCTACTTTCCCACGATATACAATTTATAGTCAAGCCCTCTTTTATTAAAGGTTTTAATTAGCTGCCTGTGCATTCCCTCCTTATTCCTAGGAACCATGGCATAAACAGGAAGTTCATGCCTCTGGGGCTTATTTGTTGCGGAATGGAAAATATGAAGCTGTGGACTTTCTCAAGGATGATTTAGAGGGAAACGGGCCTTAAATTACCATACTCCCCTCCTTATCTTCTCCAGAAGGCTTAAAAACCAAGGCACTTCACAAGCAGCACTCCACTCCCACGAGTATAAACAGTTCTCTCCCGCCTGTGACTGGAGATAAACTTGAGAGTTCTGCCACAGGCTTGTGCCATACTCTAGGGCGGGCGCCCCAAAGCAACGATGATCTGCCACTCAGCACCCTTACAACTGTGTGCTGCAGTCTGCCCTGACAACCACAGGGCTCCAGAGCTAAAACTAGAAAGTCTACCGTATCAACTACCCAAACACCACAAAGTGTTGGATATTCTAAGGCCTGGCCGATGGAAGAGCTCTGCAGCTTGACTGTAATGGTAGTTATACAAAACTAGGCACGAGGTAAAATGGCACAGAAGGATACATAAAAATCGTGTGCCACTGTCGATTTCCTAGCTTTTTCTTTAAACATGTAAGTTAAGATGTAACTATGACAGCACACTGGACAGAGTGTACACATAAGCTCTTGCTACTGTCTTTGCAACTTGTGGAGAATCTCTATTTGTTTCCAGATGAAATGTTTTTTAAAGTGCGTCTGCTCGTGCACCTCGCTATACTTTGAATGGCTTGCATCCGGACAAGTAATCCAGAAAAAAACACAGCCTGGTTTTCTACCTTGAGGTTGCAGCCGCCTTCCAGCGGAAAGCTGGAGGTGGGGAATACTCTGGCTAGTGCTGTGTCTCAGCCTGGGATTCCCTCACCGCCCTCCCACCCCGCCTGTCCTTCCCGAGGGTGGCTCCTTCCCGTCTTTCAGGTCACACCTCAATGCCGCCTCCTTACAGAGGCTTTCCCTTGGCCCGGCATCTACAGTAGCTACTCTCGGGGCTTTCTGAGTTCCCCGAAGCCTTCCCGGCGCGCGCCCGTGGCCACGTGTAATGCTTTGCTCCGTTTACTAGCCGGTTACCTGTAACACCTCCAGGAAGGCGGGCCCCGTCTCCCCCTGGCGCGCTCGGTCCCCAGCAATGAGTACCCCGCCCGACGACGGCAGGGAGAGGACTTTATTTCAATTAAGGGCACCTCATTCGAATTCCCTGCTTTGGGCTCGAGGCTGGTCGCACCGCTTCCTTCCCCTCACACCACGGGAGCTCCCGGTCTAGGGCTGACTTTGGTGCGCTCACTCGGGCCACACGAGTGCGCCTCTGCTTCCTGCCTTCACCTGGACCCTAACCCGCCCAAGGAGGGCACCATCTTCTAACTCGTTTGTCCAGAAGGGAGCCGCTTCAGAGTATTTCTCCACAGCCTTTCCTCAGGCCATCCTCTCAGCCCCCTCCCGTATCTCTTCTACCGCAGCTACAGCCCCGGGGGGCCTCCGCCCTTCATTTCCGGCGAGGCCCCCCCCCCCTTCCGGGGCTGCCCCCGGCCCGGACCCCCGCCTCAGGGGCGCCTCGCCCCTCAGGCCACGCCCCTCAGCCCTTGGATCGCTGGAAGGGCGGGAGAAGAGGCCAGGCGGGAGGGGCGGGCGGCNGGGGGGGGGGGGGGCGTGTCCTCCTCGGTCCTGGGAGGCGATTGGCTGGACCGCGGAGAAGGGGCGGGACTGCTGCCTGTGTCTAGGGGCTCCCGGGTCATCTCCGGGCATTCTTCGCAGTTCCACAGGCTGTGGCGCGTTCGAGTCGACAGTAGCGACTCTGGTTCGGGCAGCATGTCTGACAAGCGGCCAGCAGTGGACACCCAAGCTCGGCGGCTTCCCGACTCCTTCAAGGGTGAGCCCCGTGCCCCTGGCGAGGCCCGTGGGGTCGCCCGCCGTCCCCCTTCGCCTCCTTTCGGGAAGGGCCCCGGCCCAAAGGCCCCAGGAATATCTGCGATGTTTCTTAGCCGAGTGACCGTTGCTCACCACCGACGTTTCTGCCCATTGTACGCTGAGAATGACGAACCCTACTCCCCAGGCTGGGGGGAAAGTTTTAGGGATGTTAGGGTGCAGGATGCACGCCCAGTGCCCCGCACTGCCGGGACGCGGCATCGAGGGCGTGTCTCCGGTGCCCACAGCCAGAGCAGGGACTCGCGTTATCCAGCGGCTGCCAGATGCCAGGCCCTGTGCCAGCGCTTTCCGCTCTTTATCTCGTGGCGTGCACGAGTGACTGGCGGCAGCGGCTGGTGGAGTCGGGGCCCAAACCTGCCCGCCACGCCCGGGCGCGGGGGAAGTCGGCGTCTTCGCCCCGCTCCCCCTCAGCCCCATCCGAGGACAGCTCCGTCACCCCGCCCTCGCCCACCCTCAGAGTAAGCCCGGTCCTCCCGAACTAGAAAGAACTCCTGCTCCCCACCCTGGCCAGTTTGTCTTACTAAACCCCGCAACAGACCCGTGCGGTTTTGCCACAGGTTCACTACACAGTTGCGGAAGAAGGCTCTTTTTGGCATCCTTCGTGTATCTCGTTCCAGCTTCACTTTCTGCCTCACTCTGGCCCCTCCACTTTACTTCCTTTGTTCTAGGAACATCGCCATCCTGGCTTTTGGCCCTCACTAGGAATTGTGAGTTCCCCACCCTACCAGGGCCTTCCCAGTCTTGAAGACAGAAATTGTGTAACTCAATTTGTTCCCCTGTGAAGGGACTAGCGCTCTTGAGAGGGCTATCTCCTCGAACCGTTATTGGCTAACTCCTTGGGGGAGATGGGGGTGGTTCATAAAGAGATGCTTGTAAACCTCTCAGGAGTACTGATTCCCTCCCAGGGGTTCTTCGTGATCCAAAGGAATTCTTTCTAAGGACAGAATTTCAGACAGAATGACATAGTGAAAAAAATTTGGAGGCTGAGTGGGCTTTTCCAGCACCCCACAAAGAACACGATACTCCAGGGGTCCCCAAACTCTGGGATCTAGTGCCTGATGATCTGAGGTGGAGCTGATGTAATAATAATAGAAATAAAGTGCACAGTAAAGGTAATGCGCTTGAGTCATCCCGTCCACCTCTACCCCGCCTCCATGTGTGGAAAAACTGCCTTCCAGGAAACTGGTCCTTGGTGCTAAAAAGGTTGAGGACCGCTGCACTGGACTCATCAATTCTGATTATTTGTGATGACAGCCTTGTCCACTGATCCAATATGTACCCATTTCCTTTTCCAGCAATCTTTGTCTTTAGTTCCATTCCAGGAACATCTAAAGAATTATAGAAATCTTAAATTGTCACCTTTCTGTACCTTGGAGAGTTACTTTCCCAAATCAGGAGTGTAGTAGAGAGGATATTCTTGAAGAAACTGATACTCAAGAGGTTAAATTACTTTGTCACACAGTTTATGAGAATTTGAGTCAGATTTTAAGTCTGGGTTTTTGGCTGATCCTAAAACTTGCCCATATAAAAATTATGCAGTCTGCCTCTTTGATAGTCAGTTGTCTTTTTCTGGAAGGGAAAGTGGGCAGGATCCTTTCCTCTTCACCCTGAAATCCTGGTGGGAAAATAGAGGACCATGAGGACAGTATTAGAAGTTTGGTGACACTCTGGTAGGAAATCTGTAGAAGTTCTTTGGGAATAAACATGATCTTTGGACTTAATGTGAGTTGTTTCTCGTGCTCACAGAACAGCATTCACTCTTAAGTTCTTTTTCTTGATTCTGCACTTCACTACATTTTAGACAGAAGTCTTTATAAGAATCTAATGAAAACTGTGCACCTTTTCCTCTGAAAATCATACATATATAAACAAAATTTTGCCTGGGCTCTGTCACTTTTTTTTTTTTTTAATGTGAGACTTAGAGATGTGACACTGATAGGAAAGCCAATACTAGAATTTATTAAATAGAATTTACCGAGTGCTTGCCAGATGCCAAGCACAGCCCAGATACTTTAAAAGCATTATCCAATGCAATCCTCTAACAGCTCCACAAGGAGAATGTCATTCTCTATCCCTTTGCAGCCAGGAAACTGAAGCTCAGAGTGGAAAAATCACCCACACCTGTGAACTAGGTTCAACATTGAACTGACTTTACAAATCATTTTCCCTATCCTAGAGCTGCTTCCAGAAAGTGAAGGTGTTAGTCGCAGTTCATGTGGGACTCTTTGCAACCCTACGGGCTGTAGCCTACTAGGCTTCTCTGTCCATGGATTCTCCAGGAAAGAATACTGGAGTAGCTGGTCATTCTCTTACTCCAGGAGATCTTTCCGACGTGGGGATTGAGCTTCCAGAACCAGGGGTTGAACCCAGGTGTCCTGCATTGCAGGCAGATTCTTCACTGTCTGAGCCATCAGGGAAAGCCCTGGGACTGTCTCTGAAATGGCACACCCAGAAGGAGGGACCTGACCAGCGTCAGAAGCTGAGAGACCACAAAGGAATCTGGCTTCAGTCAAGAATTCCTGGATAAGATGACTCCAGTGGGCTGCCTCTGAGAGAAGCAGTGGGATACAAAAGCCCAAGCTGTCCCTTTATGATTTTGCTGATAATTAGTCTTAGGAATGTAAATATGACCAAACCCTCGAGCAAGACTAGTTTTTCTTTAAAGTCATTGCATTCACTTTGTAATGAAATAATGCAAGTGGGTTACAAAGAAATGCATGATTATAATTAAGAGTCATGTCAACAGAATAAATCCCTTTGGGAGAATGCCTGAAAATAAGCAGAATCAGGGGACTGCTTTGTTTATTTCAGTTGTTACAGTCGATCAGATGGGGAGTACTTTGTAACTTATTTAATAATTAATCTGAGTTAAATCCATCAGTGGTCATAGATTAACTCAAGTGATGACAAGTCTGCAGAAGTTGGCCTTTCTGTCATTTATTATAATTAAATAGATTATTGGACCCACCTCATGTTATAACTTACACACTGTAAAAGACAGAGTCATTGATCACCTGGTCAACTTTGAAGAAAAATAATTTTTTAGTGTTGATAAATATGATAAAGATTGGATTCAAAGTCTGTTTTGTAAGATGTCAGAAAACACTTTCCTGAAAACTATTGTAACCAGAAAAAGTGAGCCCCTCTTCTCTGTTTCTCCCTGACAATTTGAACCGGCCTCTGTCATACTGTTTATTACACAGTACTATAAATGTAAATTATAATCACCTTTGTTAGACCAGGAGAGCTTCTGAAAGCAGAGGATTGTGTCCTTGATCACTGTAGTAAGTTCAGGGTCGAGTGCCTAGTAGGTTTGCAAATGTGTTTGTTGAAAGAAAAAGGAAGGAGTGAGATAAAGTTTACATTGGTGGAGATATTTTTCTGTTTACAGTTTGTTTTATTAAGTTTGTTACAACTCAAAGGATTGATTTTAGGGTGTGGACTTCTTCCTCATACATGTCCTCATTACAGATAGACTGGGTTTACATTTTCAATAAGGGATTGTAATTGTCAAAGTAATATATTGTACTTAATAAGGAATCTCCTTGTTTATGAAAGTGTGGAAAAAGCAGTTAGAGGTCACAGTAGAAAGAAGGAAGTGTGTGTCAGATCTCTGTTGACATAAATCATTCTTCGACACAAATCATTCTTCCATTCTTTTTGGACCTTTGTCTATACTCTGAGACTTATAAAGATACCTGAACCCCAAACATTTGCCCTGACTTTCAGTAGATTGGCCTTGAAGTTACTGGCAATAACATGTCTGTCCTAAAATATCAGACAATGAAAATTAGATACCAGCCTTGCCTAGTTATAAATATGCGTGGATGGCAAGATTGTATACATAGCAAAATGAGGATGGAATCTATTTCTTTTTGGATGAATTTTTTTTTCCATTTATTTTTATTAGTTGGAGGCTAATTACAATATTGTAGTGGTTTTTGCCATACATTGACATGAATCAGCCATGGATTTACATGTGTTCCCCATCCCGATCCTCCCTCCCACCTCCCTCTCCATCCCATCCCTCTGGGTCTTCCCAGTGCACCAGCCCTGAGTGAGGATGGAATCTAAAATTCAAAGATCTGAATTGAGACCTCAGTAGCATCACTTACCACCTGGGTCACCTGGGGGTCTCTCAATCTCCAGAGTCAATTCCTCATCTAGATATTGAGCATCATCTTACAGTACTATCTAGCTCCCAAAGTTTTGAGTATCAAATGAGAACATTTTTGTGAATGTACTTTTGAAATTTTAAAAATGTAAATTATTAAGATATTATTTATTGGGGACAACAGAATAAAAAAGTTAACAACGGCTTAGTAATTATACAGAAAATTAAAATTTATGGACAAAAAGTGTGAAAGACCAAGAAAGTTTAGGACTCTGACTTATCTCCCCAAATGTGGTCTGTTTCTCCCCCAGGGACAGAATCCCCAAGCAGGTTGTTAGTCTTGATGTTTCTCTATGGTGTGCAGGTCCCAGAAGGTAATTCACTTAATATAAAGTTTATTCCTTTGTACTGTCAATAGTTACCTTACAGTTCTGATCATAATGATGGTTACTATTTATTGAACACTTCCTAAATGTCAGGCACTCTACATATTTTTTCATTTGAGATAACTATTCTCTTCCCTCATTTAGTGAAAGTGAAGTCACTCAGTTGTGTCTGACTCTGCAACCCCGTGGACTGTAGCCTACCAGTCTCCTCCGTCCATGGAATTTTCCAGGCAAGAGTACTGGAGTGGGTTGCCATTTCCTTCTCCAGGGGATCTTCCTGACTCAGGGATTGAACCCAGGTCTCCTGCGTTGCAGGCAGACGCTTTACCGTCTGAGCCACCAGACTCTCTTGCTTTTCACTTTCCTAAGTGTCAGGCACTGTGTATTTTCTCATATGAGGTAATGACCATTCTCTTCCCTCATCTCCCTTCCCTGGGGGCTCAG